TTATTTCCAAGCGTGAAAATGGAATATTCGAAAAAAAATTTAACAGCAAAGTTAGCGCTTTTATACAACTGACATGTATGTTTGCTTTGTGTGAATAATGATCTACTTTGTATTTATCAATTACTCTATAATATTTTGCAATGTACTATAAGTATATTTATATTTATATGAATTGGACTGTCAATATATTGCTAAATTATATATATATATAATTTTATATATAATATTTTATATATAATATAATTTTATATATAATATAATATATATATAATTTTATATATATATATATATATATAATATGTATATACGTATAATTATATATTTATATATTACTTTAAATTGATATAGATGGAGAATACACTGGATTCGATCCGCCCATCAGAAAATCCACGAGAAGAAATGTCATATTTGTTTGGTAGAGATCCTAGTATTTTGGCATACAGCCAGAGACCGTTTCCCTCAAAGGATACAAAAAAGAATTTGCTTTCATTGTATGAAGTAGAGGAAGATAATTTTACCAATGAAAACGTATCCGAACATTCAGAATCGCAGACCTTGCAAACTATCAAGGTGTACCTTAGACTCAAACCATTCCCAAAGAAGCTGAAGTTGACAGAGGAGCAGCAAGAGGCTTACAAAATCATAAATTCCACAACTTTGCTCACGAAGCTACCAATATTGGATAATAATGGGAGTTCCAAACAATCCAAAAGTAATGAGACTGTAAAGGGCCGAAAATTTACTTTTTCCCAAACATTTGGGCCAGAGACCACTCAGTTGGAGTTATTTGAGCAAACGGTACAGCAGCAAATGATCGATTTCTTGGCTGGGCAAAATTGTACTATAATGACATATGGTAAGAAATATTCTATAATACATGATATTTGAAAAAAGAATTAAGAACTTTCAAGATTTTATATTATTTATTTCGACAAGCAAAATTGCCTATAAACATACATTCTAAAATTAATATTTATTGAGATATTGATAATTTTCTATATTACCTCTACTTCTCTACAACAGGTGTTCTATATAATTTATTCTCTCCAAGATAAATTTCAAAGAAACTTTGTTGCAAAGAAACACATAATCTGAAATTTATATCTTATGTAACTATTTATAGTCAAATAAATCTTGTAAATTGTCAATCGTTGAAAAATATATCAAACTCTTTAGATGTTTTCATATCCAAAAACTGCTCCAATGTGAAACTTAACGATTAATAAAAAATTAACTAGCAAGTAATATAAAATCATTATAAGGCACCATACTACAAAATTTCTATAATTTTCTCAAAAATCTTTAATTGATATGCTGATGATACAGATTATCTACTATATTTTCAACACTATCTACTTTTAGAACATTATCAAATATTATTAAAAATTTATAATATTTAGAAACTTATTAAAATACACACATATACGTATAAAATGTTTAATGGCAATAACTTAATTTTTGTAGGTACTACAAATTCTGGAAAGTCATATACTTTACAAGGGACTGCTACTTCACCTGGACTTATACCACGTGCACTGGAATTTGTGTTTAACAATATTACAACAAGACCAAATCCATTTTATAAACCTTTGCATTATAGTGATGTGGTCAATCTTAACGCACTTGAACGTGCGCAGGAGCTTGAAGCAAAAACTAAATTGCTAACATTCAGTTCCGTGGATAAACATCAGTACATGAATACTTACAAGGAAATGCAAAAATTGTTACAAGAGGAATCAATTCGTCCCAGTCAATGCTATGACGCTCATTACTCAGTTTGGGTTTCATTTGCTGAAATCTATAATGAAATTGTATACGATTTGTTGTCAAATGAATGCCAGAAAAAGAGAATACCTTTAAAATTGGGAGCGGATTCTAATGGCAGAGCATTTATCAGAGGTTTAAAGACTATTTATGTTAATTCGGCGGCAGAAGCTTACCAAATTTTTATGGCAGGGCAATATAATTTAAAAATAGCCGCAACTGCGTTAAATGCAAAAAGTTCAAGGTCCCATTGTATATTCACAATTATATTGTTAAAATATTATGCAGAAAATTTACCAGATACAGTTGAAGTGAGCACGTACGTATTTTTCTGTTTATCCCTCTTTAACATTTTATATATCACTTTATGATATATTCTCTTTCTGTGGTTATTCTTTTCTCTAAAATATTAAAGTTGAACAATTATATTTATTTGCTTTATACAATTATGAGGAAGAAGCTAAAACTTATTACATTAATTTTTCTACATCATCAGAATTCTAATTAAGAAATTGGATGTTTATATAGGTTTTCGTTTTGCGATCTGGCGGGCTCGGAACGTTTAAAAAAGACATTGAATATCGGGGACCGATTGAAAGAAGCGCAAAATATTAATACTAGTTTGCTGGTATTAAGCAGATGTTTGAAATCTATTCACGAAGGACAATTGACAAGAACGAAGGCAGATACTGTAGGACCATTCAGAGAATCGAAATTAACCAGATTGTTCCAACGAGCGTTATCAGGGAAGGAGCATCTGGCCTTGATAGTTAATGTTAATCCACTGCCAAATCTTTATGTAGAGACCCAGAATGTTCTAAATTTTGCTGCTATCGCAAAAAAAATCATTATAGAAAGAAAGAAACGAATACAGAAGAAATCGAAATCAAGGTTTTCGCAAATAGTCACGCAGAGTATACAAACGGTGACCGATTGGGATACCACAGAATTGGAAAGTTCGGATTGGCAACCTACAGATAGCGTGGAAGAGAATGATTCCGAATACATTACTTCGGAAGAATATATGGATCTTGCAAATGAGAACGAAAGATTGAAAAAGGAGATTGCTCTTTTAAAGAATTCATCTTTAATTCAAGATCTTCAAAGCCGACATGAAATGGCCGAGAAATATATTGCGATGATAAACGAGCTTGAAATGGATTGGAAACGGCGTATAAATGATGTTGAAACCCAACACGAGACCCAACTTGAATGGACTGTGAAACAAGTTGAGGAATTTTACAAGGGAAAGTTGAATCAATTGCATAGGAAGAGAAAAAGACGCAGCGATTGCAGTGATGATAGCGATGAAGACAATGACAATCTTAACTTAACTATTAAAGAAGTAATTAAAGAAAATACACAATTGAGGGAGAAGAATGAAACTTTGAAGCAAACATTAACTGAACTTAAAGTAACGAATGAAACCTTAATTGTAGAAAAGAACAAAGCTTCTTTTGAGTTGGGATTGTCAAAGGAGGACTTGAAAGTAGCGAAAAGTCTTCTAGAAACTGCTCAAAAAGATATCTGCTCTACTCAAAATGGTAATATTTATATAAAGGAAATGACATCACAGTTACTCGCTAAAGAGGAACAAATCAAGAAGCTAAAAGAAATTCTCAATGAAGCAAAAGAAGAGTATATTACAATTACGTCTGATTTAAGACAGAAGGAACTTTGCATTGATGAGCAAGCAAAAATTACAGTAGAAAATGAAGAAAAAATTGAAGATTTAGAACTACATCTTGAACAAGCTAATGTTTGTTTAATGGAAAAGACGAGAATAGTAGAGCTTCTAGAAGAAAAACTAGAACACCAAAATGAAGATAAAATCCTACAGTTGCAAGAAGAAATTGATAAATTAAAGAATGAAAAATTAGCGTTAATTAAATATTATGAAAACAAACCAACCTCAAAAACATCTATTCAAAATGAATATGAGATTATTATAAAAGAAGAACTGATTACTGATGAAATATCGGAAGATTTAAGTATGATTAAAGAAAATACGAAAGGAAGAATGGAAAATGCAAAAGTATCTGTTGATGAAACTAAAGAAATTGATTCGAATAATTTGAATCCTACAGAAGAGACACTTCCTAAACAGATATTAGTGGATACAGGTTGTCAAGTGGATATAACAAATAATAAGGATCACAACGATACTAAAAACAAGTTGGAAAAGAGTACTCAGGCTAGTGTAACAATAACCACGTTAGAAGATACTAGTAACAAAATGTCTCTGTTAAAAGAAGAAGCTGATGAGATTGCGGATGACAGTGCAAAGTTACAATTGGATTCATTGACCACACAAGTTCATGACATTCAAATGCAATACGAACAGAAATGTTTGCAAGTTAAGAAGTTAACAGAAGAATTAAATAATATGAAAGAGACACTGCAGACTTTAAAAGAAGAAAATTACTCGAACAAAATTATTGTTGATGAATATAAGAATTCTGCGGAGGTACTTAAAAAGCAATTAGCACTGACCACGGAAGAGAAACGTGAAATAGAAGAGACTCTGTTGAACTCCAATGCAACTTCCAAACAAAAGATTGCAAACTATGAATGTGAAATTGATCGATTGGAAAAGGATCTCTCAATTGCAAATAATAATGCTCAACAGTATTTGGAGAAACTGGAGACGACTCAAAAAGAGTTAGATAATTATATATTAAAATGTAAACAAGAAGAAGAGACAAATATACGCAAATCAGAACTCGTTTCAATAAAAAAAGAAGATAATGATACAAATAATATAAGTGCCGATCAGTTAGATGAATATACAGAAAAGATATCGCAATTGGAACATAATCTGGAAACTATAGAGAGGCTGAAACATGACATTGATCAATTAAACACAAATTTGGAAACGTGTCAAGTGGAGAAAAACTGTATACAAAAAGCGCTCGACGAGAATAATAAGAAATTGTTGGAATTTGAGAGTCGATTGGAGGAAACAACTTTCAAGGAACAGGAAAAAGATACTGAAATAGCGGCCTTACAAAAAGAACTGAAACGTATGATACAGAAAAGTGAAAATGCAGAGAAAAATGACGATATGATGGAAGCAGAGTTAAAGAGCGCTATAAACGAATTGACACAGACGAAAGAGACGCTTTTCCAAAAGGAGCAGCATTTAAAAGAATTGAAAATACGTTTAGAGAATTCTGAGAGAAATGCGAAGCTATTTAATTTGCTCGAACAGAACGCGAAGGAGCGACAGGTTGATAATGAACGGTTACGAAATCTAAACGACGAACTGAGAACCAACTTGACGCAGAAGGAACGCGAGATGGATGCGTTTATGAAGAATCGAGACGAGACAGTAACCAAGTACGAAGCTTTGGTTAAAAACCAGCAGGAAGAGTTGGATATGCAAAAAAGGGAGGTGATGAGGTACCAAGAACTATTCCGTCGGCAACTTACACCGACGCCGAATAAAGATGATTACAAGAAGTTGCAGAATCGTATAAAAGTACTCCAAGACAGATTGCAGAAGTACGAAATTGATGCGAAGGACAAGAATGATTACGACAGCACATCAGAGGAGGAAGTTTCAGCTCAACGTCAACCGAAACGGCGAGGAAAGAAGACGGTCTTATCTAAACAGGATAATATACCGGTTATAGAGTTGTCTGGATCTGAATCAAAGCGCAACACGAGAAATACCGCTTTGCCACCACCGAAAACGTCAACCGAGAAAAGACGCACTCGCAGGAAGAAGCTGTTCCTTGAAAACGAATCGTTTGCGGAAGTTGAGCCCGCCGTGACGCTACCAACTCGAAATTTGAGGAATCGAAAGAAATGAAAATATATTAAACATACTGTAAATACTTTGTATATGCTTAAGGAAACCTGAAAAGGATAGCGGAGTATAAACGAAAAAAGAAACACAGAAATATGTAATGTAGATCGGAAGTGAGAATTGCTTTTTCTGTAATATGATCAAATAAGTGCGTACATATGCTTGATTACATGTTTATTAAAAAATCACTGTTCTTGATTACATGTTTATGAAAAAATCACTGTTCCCTTTCTTTAATATCATACATTTAGGTATAATAGCATCATACATTTAATATCATTTTATATACAAAAACTTTTATATACAATTGCAACTTTTATATACAAAAAATATACATAATGTTAAAAGATTATATGATATTAATAATAATAGTAAAGTGATTTATGTTCTATTTGTATCAAAAAAATTAATCTGTGCCAGAAGCTATATATAGGAGCTAGGCCTGTTCGTTTTAGCTGAACTTCTTGTACAGTTGTTCATCTTTTTTCTTTTTCTCTCCAACGTGAAAAGAAAAAGAGGAAAAATGAACCGTGCCACAAGTTCAACTAAAACGAACAGACCTAGAGTGGCAGAAAGTGGCACGAGATCCACGAGAGCGACGCAGCGGACGCAGTGATCAGCTGTCATGGCAGTCACGATTCTTGCGGAATAAAAGGGACCAAGTGTTGTTAAAAAATAATCTCCGATGCACTGTACCGGAAGATGATAGCCGACACATCAATTCTTTAACGCGCTTGGTAGCTTAGCCAAAAAATGTTTCGTATTTTTCGGTGTAACCTCCGTAATCGGTTCCCCGAGTTTCTTTATTTAACAACAAATTAGACCTGAATTATTTATGTGAAAGGCTTCGAAACATAAAGGCGAGAAAATATAATCTATATCTACGTTACTCATTAATTTTCTATTAAGATTAAATTTGATTTTTGCGTAGTGACTAAAAGTGTCAAGTTCGAATGGGTGCATGTGTGAAGCTTACTTATACAAAATTTACATTTATGTTCTATAAAGATATATGTACATATTGAAAAAATACTTATGTCTTAATTTTAATTGTATAATAATTAAAATTAAGACATTTTATTATTTCATACATTTTAGGTAAATTTAATGATCCCATGGGTGCGTGATCAAATAGCGGAGGCCTGGCATAATAGAAAGAGTTCAAGGGCAGCTGACAAGCGGTCCTTGGCCCTTTCTTCTGTCAGCACAGGCAATCCTGCAGGCAATAACACCATGCTTACGCCATTACCTACCTCACCTGAAAATTTTTCCATCAACGTCATCAGGTTTGAATTTATGTTTGATATAGTTGTTGAAATTTCAAGAAATAATCCTATTGGGCGTCAATTAACGTCAAATAATTTTATACAGCATAGAGGGAAATGTATTGGATGTTACGGTGAAACCAAATTTCACTGTAGAAAATATTAAGAAAATAGCAGTGGTACATTTTTACGGTCAAGACACAACCAAACCCATCTCACGCTATCGCTTAGTTCATTCGTCCAAATTTAAACAGCTTGCGGATGAAAATTATGTAGATGATGAGGATATTAATGAATATGGTATAATTATTTGCATTAAGCTATATATTTATGAATTTGATATAATTATTGTATTGATGGATTTCTAATTTTGTATTATATGCTTATTGTTTATACATGCCTTTTTTACACAGTAAATAATTTATTATTATAGATGAATTATTATTAGTGGAAATACGATCGACCACCATACAAGAAAATCTTTCAGATGAAGCTCTTAAAGGTCCAAATTTAGAAGCAATAGCTCGAGCTACGAGTGATCTACCTAATCTACAAAATGCACCTAAGCCTGTGCCATCTACAGAATGTCCTGCAGATGTAAATATATATTTCACATGTTTTAAAATTTATACTTTTGTTTATTACGGTATTTCACCTTTATGATTACTCGTAGTTCCAGAATGAAATCCGTAAGATTTTAATAACCCTTGTAGAAGCGTCTGCAAAGATCTTAATGTATAGTCCCGATGCTGAAAAATTATATGACGTTATTAAGGAGAAACTCGAAGCTAGATGCAAGCCTATTAATGATCCAAAAGTCGTAAAAACTCTTATAGAAATGGGTTACCCTCACAAAAAAGTTCTCAAAGCGTTACGTCTTCGAAAGTAAGTATCAATGTTTTTATCATATATTTAATATTAATATGTATACGCATTGGTAATTCGCGTATAATACTATGAAAATATACCTCTGTTCTAGATCGAATATGACAGAAGCTTTAGAATGGCTCATAGAACATCAAGATGATTCAGATGATGAAGACGATGATTTCTTGTCTGTGGATACAATGACAGATACAAATATTGCAAGTCCTAGTTTCTCAATGGGTGTTAAGAAAAAATTATTAAAAGATGCATGTTTGGAATTGTTTGAAACAGGTAATCCTTGCACAAGATTGAAATGTGCATTATTATTTGAAAGAGAATTAAAATAAAAAATAATACAGTGTACGAAAAAAACATACATATATAAATGTGTTAACTCTAGGAAAACAGGATCAAAAAGAAAAAAATCTGATACATATCGTAGAATTATTATTGCAAAGTTTCCGACAATATAAAAAAATGGAATTTAAACCTAATAAAAGAGCAATGCGGTCGCTTGTAGAAATGGGCTTTGAAGAGAAGAATGTTATAGGAGCACTAAAAATTACTGGAAACGATCAGGCTAATGCTGTAAGTTAATTATTAAAAAGATATATACTTGATGTGGTATCAAGGACAGGATGACCTATTTTATATGTCAAATCTCTTAAACAATACATTTTAAGGAAAAATGTTTCAGATAAAAGTTGGAGGGTTCAAAGAGGGCCAATAGACGATCTTATTAGATTTTGGGTTCAAGGTCCATATTGAGTGGTACATTTTTCTTTAAAATGTATTGTTCAAGATATTTGAGGTGAATTTAAAATGGGTCACCCTTATATTTAAATTATATATTTCTTTATTATATATTATATATATTATATATTATATATTTTCATATTGTTTTACATCTCTCTTTCGATAGTGTGAGTGGTTGTTGGGCGAAAGGCGACGTAGCTTACAAGACTTGGATGAGGGTCTTGAACCTGATGGTCTAATTTATAAAGCAATTATGGCTAATCCTCATATTCAGCTTAGTCTTACAAAACCCAAGATGTTACTCGGTAAGATAAAGCTATAAGAAAATATAATAAACTAAAATAATATGTTTCTTAAAACTTTTTCCTATTTCTTTCAGCATATTTATCAATGATAGAAACACCTGCCTCGGCAAACGTATGGATTAACGACCCTGAAATTTCACCTGTGCTTAGCCAAATATCTAAGACATATCACACCGAAAAACATGCCATCCATATGAATCGTTATACCTAGTATTACGATAAAACTTATTTGAGTCTCTGTAAAATACATATTTTTATATAAATTTATAATTAATTTTCGCGGAGATATCAATCACCGATTAGTAATCAGTTATAATTATTACAATTTTAATTATATATAATTATATTATATATTATAATTACTGCTAGTTAATTATTGTTATAATTATAACTGCCGCTAGTTAAAGAACTATTATCATATTTATGAAAATCTCATGGGATATTCACTCGCAATACGCTATAATATGTAATCAATCACACATCATTTGATTTCCATATACAGTGCAGAGCTTTCGACGTTGTCGACAAATTGCTTGGTGTTGACAATTCTTAGAGAAAGAAAACGTGCTTTAATATATATGAAAACAAAAAATTGTTATTTTAACATGTAATATATAAATTCTTATAATAAAATCGAATTCGTGTCAAATACCTATGCTTTTCCGTTCTCCAAATCGAGAGCTAATCAGACATGTGCTTCTACAGAATTATACAATATGTTGAAATATAAAGTCGCAAAATAAATTTATTATAAATTAAATAGTTCTAAATTTATCTATAACTGTCTTCGTTAAAATAAATAAACGATTTAATTTATCAGTTAATGAGAGAGAAAGAGAGAAGAAATTTGTGTCCTACGCGATTCTACGTATACTTACGCAAAGAATCATTTGTACTTATCGACATTTTTTTAATAGACCAATCACACTCGGTTATTCTTCGAGCTCAAGGAGAATAATCGACTGTGATTGGTCTATTTTCTTACGGCCTTACGATTATTACTAAAACTTTGTTACGTGCAATGGCCTTTAAGCTGGCCACACACACTTTTTCGTAACAGTAACAGTAGGATTTCGACCAATCGCGTTGCTCGATTCGAAAACGTATGTACGGCCGTACGTTCCCGAATCGAGTAACACGATTGGTCGAAATCCTACTGTTACTGTTACGAAAAAGTGTGTGTCCGGGCCCTTAGTGCTGGTTCACAACCTTGCTTTAAAGGATATTTAAGCTCTAAACCGTAAAGGTGCCATTACATGGGAGCGTCCGAGCGTCGAGCGTCAAACACGTGCGCAGGATTCTAAACCGAACAGATTTCAGCGTCTTGACGCTATTCCTATTGCAATGGCGAGTGACGAGGTAAGTAAGTTATGTTCCTGTTTTGGCATATCTTTTGTTGAGATAAGTAATTAAAATATTGTATGTCATAGGCATCAGATATAACGTGCGGTGTGTGCACGGCAACAATTGCGAGTCAAAATATTGAGAGTCACCAATGTGTGCAACAATGGCACAGTATTACCATCTAGTCTGATTTCCAAATATTTTATCCTACGAATGGTATGGCCTATAATTCATTAAATT